TTTTATTGGACTCTTGTTATGCTTTTTTTTTCCTTAAAAAAAGAAAGAGAACCGCGGATGTTTGGATATGTAAATTTTATTTTTAAATATATTTTATAATTTGAGAAGTTCATATTTTTATATATATACATGTATCCCATTAATTCTATATATATATATATATATATATATTATATATATATATATTATTGCTAAACCAACTTCATTTAAGCTTTAATTAGATAGGTGTCTTACGCTACACCATCAAATTAGTTCAAATTTTTTATAATGTAAAAAAATATTTAGATAATGATATCATTTAAAAAGAGCAAAAAAAAATTATAATCATAGTCATTGGCTTGAATAAGTTTAAAAGTTTTTGTTAATTTAATAATATAATTTAAAAAATAATGACAATAAAAAAATAAAAAGGGCCAATGATTAATTGAAAAATTATGAACACTTGTTAATATTATAAAAATATATTCTTTATATATTTTTAAAATATCTCAACAATCTTATTTAATAATAAAACAAACATTGAATTTTATAGCAAACATTGAAGGAAAAACTAAAAAAATAATTTTAAAAAAATGATAAAAAAAATTGACTTGAGTTAACATGTTAAATTTGTAGCCTAATTATAAAATTAAGATAACCTCACACAAAGAAATTGAATAAAAAAATGGAAGTCAACTCTAAAACAAACTAAATGTTAAAAGAAAAAAAAAGAAAAAAATCAATTTAAAAAATAACCTGAGTCAATCCAAGTTAACTTGACTAATTCGTGACCTAGTATATGAAATTGAGATGACCTCACAAGAAGAAAATTATAAAAAAAATCATGAATTTCAAGGCTGAATAACCTAATATCGAATAATAAAATTGAAAGGAAAAAAACAATTTAAAAAAGAACTTAAAACAACTGAAGTTAAATCAGACTAATTTTTAAAATTTATGACCCAAGTCATGGGATTGGAGATTACCTCGTAGAAGACAAATATAAAAAATCATGAAGTGAAATTTCTAATCATTCAAAATTAAAACCATAAAAGAAACAGCAATCAAAATAATAAAAATAAAATATGGTGTGAAAACTAAATAACAAAAAACAATGGGGGACTAAATTGAAAAATAAAATTAATCAAGAAAAGGATAAAAAAATAGCAATCAAAAGAATGAGGATCTAATTTGATAAAATTTTAAATAAAATAAAATATTAAGAGATAAAGTAAAAAAATCAAGAAAATAATTAAAAATAATAATGGTAATAAAAAATATAATGACCAAATTTGATTAAAAAAATTAAATATTGAATAATGAAATTGAAAAAAATCAACTTAAAAAAGCATTAAAAACAAAACAAATAATAATAAAATAATAAGGATCAAAATTAATACAAATATAACTTGACAGGACACATTTAATTTCTGAAAGGGCTAGTATGAAATCCAAAGTGATGAGAGAGAAATAAATAAAAAATCCACTAGAAACAATGGCAGCTCCGTCGTGCACATATATCTAACCACTAGGAAGAGGATAATGCAATATTTCCAATACCATCATGAAATGTAGCTTTTGACTGCTAGAAGATGCCACATACATTATCCAAAGAGCGTGAGCGGCTCTAACTCACCATACACACCAGCCACTTGTATTTTTTAATTATATTTATATTAGTTAAAAGGCTGAATTGTCCCTCATTCAAATTAATTATAACTAAAAAAACTATGAAGAAAACACAAAAAAAGCCCTCGAACTTCAATTTTGATTTTTTTTTTTTAAGAACAATATAATCATTTCACTATGCAATCAAAGCGTTAACATGTTGAAAAACCCCTTGATCACAATTTTAATTCTCTTGTTTTTATGGGTATTTAAAGATTGATTTGTCCTTGATCAATATAACAACAATAAATAAACCTTATGAAAAAAATATTTTGCTTTTAATAACTAGTCAAATGATTTTGTTTGATAATGATAAAATAGTAATTTTACCGTTCCAATTCATAATAAATTATGTTTTAGTATATAGTAAAAGACTAATCTCTTTTCAGTTGGTTTATTTTCTAAATAATAGCCTATTTTTATTTTTTTTAAAGAAATTAAAGCCTAATATATTATTTTTTTTCAAGATTCCATTCAATTCCAATTTTAGGTACAAATAAACATATCCAAATTGACCAATTTTCTTTTTAATTTGATTTAGTTTGATTCAATGTATTAATATATTTTATATTCTAATTTTTTTATATTTTTTAATTAAAACCAAATTGTTTAATGAAATCAAATTGGAATATAAGATTTGATTAATTTGCTTATTCAATATTAATTAATAAAATCTTATATAATCACCTTACTTATTTACTTATCCTCTGTAGATTAATGGAATTATGTTTGATAATTGATGGTTGATTTGATGATATTTAAGTGGTGAAGGCTTTTGAAATAGCAGCATCAATCATAAAGAAATATTTAAATCGTAGTTAATGGATGATGTTTAGATGGTGGTGATTGGGATCATAATTGTAATGATGACTATAATAAAATGGTAAGATGGAGATGATGTTTAGATGGTGGTGATCGGTGTCGTAATTATAATGACGACTATAATGAGATGGTAAGACGGAGATGATCAATGAAGATGTTATTGAAAAAAATTGAAAACAATTACTTTATATAAATAATTTAAATAATTATATAAATTTAAAGATATTATATGTCATTTAATTCCTTCCTCATAAATCAATATACTTTCTTAAAAACAGAAAAAAACAATGATTTCTTCTCGCTAGATTGAAAGCACCATTGAATTAAAGTCATTATCATTCCATTAATTCTTTTATTCAATTATCTTCATACATAACATTGGTTTTAATTATAAAAGGCTGATGATGAAGAAGGACAGCACAGATTTTCAAGCAGAAATTCAACAAGAAATCATAAGTTCATCAAGCTCAACATGGTATTTTAATGATGTCCCATCCGCAGCACGCAGGCGCGGCAGTGGATTTTAGACTTTTAGCAACTTGTCTCGCTCTTTCCTTTTCTGTCCTTCTCATAAGATTCCGATTATCTTCATATTTTATTATTTCACTTGAATTGTGATAGTCAAGTTACGATTTTACTTTACCCCTCGTAACGAAAACATTTAGCGTGATTGATAGGGATAACAGGGTTTTTTTTTTCTTTTAACTATTAAAATACAAATTCACACTCTTTAATTTATTTTCAATTTTAATTTTAATTTTTTTAATTATTATTTTTATTTTTTATATAATATTTTTTTTAATTTTATTTTTTTAATATTTGATTCACCAAGGATTAAGTGTTATATAGTTTTTATATATAATATTTTTATTTTAATGACTCAAGTTATGAGTTTAAAGAGTTGACATGGATTGAAATTTTTTAAGTTATTTTTTGTTTTATAATTTAATATTAGTTTTTTAAATAATTAATTTTATAATTTTTTTATTTTTATTTTATCAAGTTATTTTATTTTTATTTTTATTATTCAAGTTATAAATTTTATATATTTACCTGAATTATCTTGTTTTACATGGTATATGTTATATGTTTATTATATTATTTTAGATTGATTTAGAATAATTTTTTTATTTAATTTTGTGCTTTTAAATATTGTTTTCGTGCTATTGTTATATATATATATATATAGATATATATTTTAAATTTCGTCCATTTATTATTACTTTCTTACAAAGGCCCTGCTAAAATTCTCATGAAAGCTCAAAACAAGGTAAAATGTCAAAAACCAGTCGCTTTTTAGCCGTTTGTATCCCCAAGACTCAATGAGCCAATGGCAGGCTCGTGGGTTATTTTGATAGCCGTACGAGCAGCAGCGTTCGACTTTGTGATTATTAAGGTGGGTACAGGAGTGTTTCTGGGATCATTTCAATATCATTTTATTTACATTATCTTTGAGTGGATGCTACACCGCAGGGGTGTTGATGAAGCTCATAAAAACTTCGTTTGGATGCGGGCTCAATTCGTGGATGATATTGAGCTAGGGATGTGGGTGTTATCTCTAAAATAATATTTTAATGCTTAAGATAGTGTTGTATTTGAACTTTAAAGGATGTTTTTTTTTCTAATTATAGTGTTGTATTTGAACTTTGAAGGATGTTTTTTTTTTTTTATTACATCCTCCTCTTTAGCATACAGGTTGTTGACATAAATTAATTATGAATATATTTGGTTACGTGGAAGCTTCCACTTCTAGGTTCTAACATAATTTTTATGTGTTTGATTAACCATAAATCATATATTTTGATGCGTGAGTCTCATAAAAATTTGCGTTCTAATCACAAGAGTAGTAAAAACAACTTTGGCTTGTTTTTGTTATGGCCACTGTTCTGAAAATGTTGCTGAAATTATTTATGCTCTCTAAAATACAAATTAGTCATCGATCTATCCTCCTCCACCATGCTTCCCTTATCTTATCAATCTTCTCCTCCACTTAGACTCTCATTCTCAAACTCACACAAAGCGCAACACAATCCTGGCCATTTTTGGAAATAGTTTTTGTCAGTTAACTCCTCCACTACTTTTCTCATCCATTGTGCTTCCCTTGTCTTATTGATCTTCTCCTCCACTCAGCTTCCTTTTCTCAACCTCACACAGAGCGTAAACGACCTGTCCATTTTTTGGAACAGTTTTGTGTCTGTCAACAAATCTGTTGTCATTTCCTCTTAGCAATCTTTCCTTACTCTTTCCACTCTACTTACTCTGTCATGCCAAGCTCACACTAAAACCCAACACACTCACCTTGACTCATGTAGCTTATTCCCTGCTCGCGCCACTACTCTTCCCTCTCTTAGTCAACCTCATACAGAGCACCTCCAGTCACCATTTTATGTAGATGATTGTAGATCCCAGCCATCTACCAACAAATCTGCTATCTTCTTGAACTCCTCTCACGATTGAAGACACTGCTCTTCCTTCTCTCTTTCAACCTCACATAGAGGGTTTGCAAAAAAATTCTACTAATAGACCTGCCACCTCCTTGAACTCCTCTCAAGGTTAAAGACACTACTCTTCCCTTTCTCATTCAACCTTCACACAGAGGGCTCCTAAAAAAGGTCTGCCAATAAACCTATCGCCTCCTTGAACTCCTCTCACGGTTGAAGACACTACTCTTCCCTCTCTTATTCAACTTCATACAGAGGGCTTGCTAAAAAAGTCTTTTGGAAAG